AACAACTTGCGTCTTGCTTATTTCGCGTTATTCTAAGCAATGAAATAATCGCTTTAAAATGATTTGAGATTGATGATTCAATGGGAGTTGAATTGAAAGATGATTTCAATAGTGTTGCACGACACGGAAAAAATTATGAGGAAATATTCGAAATACAACGAAAAGAGATATGAAATTTTGTCAAGATGATGAAAAACGACTCAATTAAAGTTGAACCGCTTGAAAACATTAAACTGGAAATTAAGAACTGAACGATTACAAACTGACATAAATCTTTGAGAATCGAAATGAACACGTTAACGAACCGTATTGCACAAAATAACATAACAACTCTACGGCACACACACACAAAATCACAATAAAAAACTAGTATTGAGTTCCACTGAACGGAAATGTTCTCCAAACAGAAAAATGTAAAATATTCGCATGAATAAATTCTAACAATAGAAATCAAATAGTGAGCAAGATGAAGCTGAGGCGAATCCAGCTTAATGAAGGTGAACTCATTCGATGAAACCTAAATATTATGCCCAACCACCGATGAGAGTGAACGCAATAAATATCAGCCATGACAGAATCCGCTAGACTGCTGAATTGTCTGGAAGCATCAGAAACATGTGACGAAGAACAGCCGCTCATAGAAGCGATTCATTCAGATGCAACTGTACAACTGAATCTGATGCCAATAAAATTAATCAAAGCAACAGGATGAGAGAAGATCACAGAAAAAGTGACTGTGAAAATTTTGAATGATTAACGAATGCATCGTCGAATTCAAATACAGAAACAAAACATGGTAATTGCATATAATTATGGATAAAGGAACGACAGTTTTACATTTATTAAGATATAATAAATTTTCAGTATAACCAAACATAAAAATATTTTGTTGAACTGACGAATGTTGATGATGCCCGGAGGCGGAAAGATTGAAAACAGAAACGGATGGTATGACGATAGTTGTACACTAATCATGACAGTAGATAGATTCATCAATATAGACGTTTATCATACCTGAAATTTTACAACGAATTTCATAAATCCGGCAAAACAGACACAATTCATGTTTCAATCTTATAATATACTGTCACTCACACCAGAGATTTGAGATAGAAAGGCGGATTAGAATTCAAAAAAATCCTTTAGGATGAGTGCAATCTATGGTACAGCTCCGACACAACGCATAATTACTCAATGAATGATTTGAAACTCACGAATGCAACGAATGAACACCGCCCTCAGCTTGTGCATTCGGCGAGCGACGTTCGAATTTCACTTTGCCACTATCGACATATTCTCTGGAAATGTAATGCGATATAAACACAGTGAGTACAATATACAAAGATAAAATACTTTTAAGTGCAGAAAATGAGTTATGTGCATTTCACATTCAAATGAAGTCAAAGGAACGAGAGGCTTTATATAAGACTGTAAATGAACCTCAGTTGCGGAACGCTCTTGACACCAATGTCCTGGAATCCATGCTGGATGCCACGAACTAAATAAGGTGCAAACTTATGGATACTACCACGATCACGCATTGTTGCTGATACCCCTTGAGCTACTTTGATTGCATCCGATTCACTGTAATTACAGAAACTTAATGGTAACATTACAATGAATTGGCCAAATGACTCTATCTATTCAAGTAACCACGATTTCCTAACGGAAGCTTTGGAAGTGGGTAAGACAGTCCAATCATAAGATTGTTTGACTACAATTTTTTGCCATTACCATAAATACAGCCGTTTCTGTGTTGCTGCATAATCGTTTATTACCTTACGTTCACAAGAGGCGAATGCAGGGAGCGGTAGCCTCCATGCCCTCGCTCCCGCTATGCGCATGACTATATCGACTACAAAGAAATGCTTGCAAACACCATACTTCGTGAAATATCGATCCTGACTTCCAGCATGCGCCTCCATCGCATCCAACGATCCCATACCACGATATTTCTTCAGACGCACACCACTTGGGCCCCAAAAGTATTCACCTGGAGCTTCGGTAGTTCCAGCTAAAAGACCGCCCATCATCACGGTTGATGCACCTAGCGCCAATGCCTGAAATTACAGTTCATATCCAAACATATTTTGCGAATTCCAAGAAGATTTTGTGCTGTGTCGGTGTTTTATTTTGACGTATATACGGTACCTTAGTGATATATCCAACATCTTTAACGCCACCATCAGCAACAACAGGTACACCGCGGGTACGCGCGTATTTTGCAACTCGATATACGGCTGTACCCTGAGCTCTGCCAACCGCCATAACTGAAGAGCCCTTTCAAACCGATTAACGAATTAAACACAACATTTAATCTGTCGTTAACGACACTTTTGCGTGACATGAACGACCCAGATGAAACACGATGAAGTTCATTTAAAAATTTTGAAATTCAGCATAAAATTAGATAGAACCGAGACAGTTTCGTTTAAACACTGCAAACATAAATTACAGTCAAAGAATCGAGGAAAAGCATATAATTCGAATTCTTGAAACACTGAAGAATAATCTTGGAGCTCACTCTCTTGCGTGATACAAATCGAGCCACTTCCCATCCCAACACGAAGGCCATCTGCACCAGCGTCAATCAAAAGTTTCGCTTGCTTTTGGGTAACCACTAAAAGATGAAAGATGAACGTCATATCCATTCGTAGAAAATAGGCCAAATGTCCACCCATGTTTGGAAAAAGCTTGAGTGAAAAATAATGAAAAAATCAGGGACAAAATCAATGACGAACCATTCCCAGCGATGATTTGCGGTGAAGTTGGATAGTGCTCTTTGATCCATTTGAGTAAACTAATTTGATAGGTGCTAGCGCCTTGCGATGAATCCTTAAAATTGAATTCCAATGATAAAACGGCACCAGTAACAACCTTACTTGTAGAAAGTGATAAAATTATCACACTGGCATATACTTGCAAAATTAATTGAAATTCCTTAGATACCTCATCCTCTTTCTTTCATTCGGATAAATGATTTTTCAGAAGAAATACTGAGAATTATTCACAGAGAAAGAATTGAAAAGTGACAAAAGGAAGACAGGAAGGAGAGCATCAACTGTCAGCGTTTTGAAGGAAGAGATCAGACGAACCAGATAGTTGATTTCGACAACTACCACAAACGTACACGAACATTTCATGCAGTTAGTCACTAGCCTTTCACGTTTTCTCTCAGATGGATTCACGAAGAAAGTTCACAGCAACACAAAAAAAACGTACTGCTATGTACAAGACTGCTTTCACAAAACAACTCTTTCAACATGCTTCAGAACGACAGAATCCATTCAATTTATGAACTCACTGCAGCACATCGATACACTTAAAGGTAGTGCTGGCAGATTAATGTTGAAGTTTTTTTCTACAAAGCACAAATGACGGAAATACGGGAAAAATAGAGAAGCAATTCGTTCGTTCTTCTCAATACGACTATCATGCAACTGAAAACTAGCGATCATCAAGATTAAGATTGTCATTTTCGATAACATCTCATTGATTTGCAATAAACTTAGGTGAAATAATTCTCACTATGTTAGTGAGCTATCTGCACAAATCCAACGTCGAATTCGGTGAGTACCAATACAAAAATTATTTCAGAATTGAGACGTAATCAGTGATCTTATCAAATTAGGGAACCTTCTACGATCGATACCGATAATTCGGGATTCCAAAACATAAATAATTGTTTGTTGATTTGTTCAAATAAAAAAAAGGTTGGTTCATCGCTTCGAGAAGGAACGAATCAATGAACAATAATCATCCGGCAACTGCGTATGCCCTTTGTGCGAACAGTGATTAATTGATCAAAATCATTCATCATCTCACCTCACCATCCCTCGAATGATTTAATTTATCACCCTGAACTTCACATCACATTCATCATTTCATTAACAGTTAACACCTCCAACGTTTACAATGCACCTACACATCACGAACAGTCCTAATTAGTTCGCATACAAACTGAACAAAACCTGAATTCAAAAGCAATGGAGCCAACATCCAAACAACAGAGGCATCATAAAAGCCAACTGTAATGACACTAACAACGATACTTTCTAAGAACTAACGAAAACATGACAATTCAAGCTAATTCATGTTCATCCAGGACATCCCATGAGCTGAATTCATCCCACCATAGGCCGAAGCGGTTCACCAATTGTAGATTAGCTCTCGCTGATTCAACTAGTACGCCCTATCATTCAGAACAGCATGGTCCTCAAGTTGAACGAATAAATTCACGCAAAAATAAGTACCAAAAGCAAATATAACCCACAATGACTAGTACATCTGCGCCAGCTTCAGCCAGTAATTTGACCGCATCTTTGGCGCTTTCGCGAGTATTTATCGCAGCGCCAACCCTCAGCTGTCCTTTCGAATCATATGAACTGCATGGGAAATCACGCGCCTTTTTCAGATCAGTACGTGCGATCAAGGCAACCAATTCATCACGATTGTTAACGATCGGTAATTTACCTGAAGAAAAGAGTCAGAATAATGACAACACGGCAATCATTTCATCTCATTCACAAACCTTTCTTCTCGCTTTCCAGAAGACGGTAGGCATGCTCAAGAGTGAAATCCTCATTTCCGGTTATGAGTCGCTCTCTTGGCACCATGACTTCCGAGATCTTCGTCGTTGGATATCTACTTTCTGGGATAAAATCCACGTCTCGAGAAGTAACAAGACCTGAAATTTTTGAAACGTATCGTAACATGTCACCTGCAACAATTGTCGGAACAATTCAGAAGTTAAAAGCACAGCGTCGAAGAAACTGAAAAACAATGTGAATGAAAAAAGCGAATCAAT